GAAAAAGCTATCATTTTTTTTTTTTTTTTTTCTCCCTCTCTCACTACACTAATATATCTTTCTATACATGCAATTTGTTGTTTCACTACACTGCATAATTTGCAGCAAATTTACATGAAACAACAAATTGCATGTATAGAAAGATATATTAGTATATTTAATTGCCTACTTTATCGTGCACCATAGAAAAATGGTGCAAATAGTAATCTTTGGGCTTCATTTATCCAAAAATACATTATTACAAAACTCATATTTAACTACATAATTTTCCATAAATTAATGTTACACATAAATTCAAAAATTTTCTTTATTTGTTAACTACACATCCTCAAGGAAAAAAAAAACTATTCAAAAACACATTTTCCTCCAAAACTACATTTTAATAGTCCAAACATGAACTAAGAGTCGAATATTGTACAGAAATCAATGCGCAAACATGTTGCAAATAGTAAGTAGTCATTTTCACGCGCTACTAAGTTGCTAAGTGATTACAGTCATGCTATAAGTGCAAAAAATTTTAACGGGAAATTTTGACAAGCAACATATGGTGTGGAATCATTGAAAGATGGTGAGAGAAAAAAAAAGGCCAATCATACGCGGTCACATTAGCGTCGGTATGAATTCTGTCAACATTTTTTTATACTCTCGTCTTTTTCTAAAGGTTATTACCTAGTAGCTAGCTTGTCTCTTTAGCACGTAGTCCTAATCTTCGACCTTTTAACTATTTTATTTTTCCATACATAAAAATTGAAGATTTTGGATTTTCCCGTCGACAACGTACGATCTTACGAAGAACGAGAACATGATAGCTTTTGCAAATAAGGATATCGTGAATTTAATCGGTCAATGGTAGCTGTGTCAACGAGTCAAAAAAAAAAAAGCTCGAGCTCGATTCGAGCTTTTTTGGGACCGAGCCGAGCAAAGCCCGACTAAAAAAATGAGGCTCGGCCCGAGCCTTAGCTAGCCGAGCCGACTCAAATTTTATTTTTTATTTTTAATGGGAGGCTCGCTCGGGCTACGGGCCTTCCCTGGCTCAAGCCGATGCCCCAAAGTGGGGCTCGGCGATGCTCAGTGTAACCGAGCTCCAGTCAAGCCCGTCTCGAGCTTTTTCCCTGCCGAGCCCTAGCCGTCCGAGTCGACGAGCTTTTTTGTCATCCCTAGTCAATGGTACTTGTGGATGGTCAATTACACTCCTTTTTTTAGGTCAAAAAACGTTAAAAAGTGTAAAATTAGTGAATTCCAATAGGAGTTGGAATTTCTCATACGTTGCAGGGAATGAACGTTCCCGTACTTATAGTTGTAGAGTTCAGTGAGTTATATAGCTTATTCAATTGCATGTGTACAATTTCTAAAGTTTTGTCACGTCCTAGGATACACCATATCAAGTGGTACGCTAGGGGAGAATATGTGTAAAATCGAAATCACGATTCATTTTTCCCATAAAAACTTGACACCTGCACAATTTTATTAATTAGGTGACGATGAGACTCGAACACATGATATTTACATGACTTGATATCATATCATTTGATCTAAAAGTATAAACTATTAAAGATAACAATTTGGGAATAAGTGGTGATGAATATGGTAGCTTTCCTGAAGAGGTCTTTCTTTCTCATCCTTTTCTTTTCTAGGTACACAAGCAAGAACTTTGATACTACAACTCTTTGTCGAAAACATGTTTTTAGATTGAGAAAAGTTTATTTATTTAAATTTTATCATTAACACATCCTTTTACGTGAACTTCAGACTTTATTTTTTCATCAAAGGGCCAACATGACATACATGTTCAAATCTTTGAGAAATCTTGATTACGGGCTCAGAAAAGTCATCAAATGAACACCACCCAACAAGCTTGACCCAAACCTTCAATACATTATGGAAGTGGTTTTAGCAATCCACAAAGGTGGGAAAAAGAAGAAGATATAATAATGGTTGAATCTCACTCAATCCCCAGGCTCTCGACTGCCTCTCTCTTTTGTCTCCTCTCCATTGCTACAGTACATACACACACGGCTGCAAGATGGAGGAGAATAGGATATATATTCATAACATTAGGTCACTCAATTGTACCAACAATAAAGTAAATGGGCCACCAATAAACCAAAGCCTAAAACAATAAATGGGCTACAAAATCCAATATCACCTCCAACCACTACTCAACTACAACTTGTGCCCTCCAAAAGTATTGATCGTTTCCGGGTCGAGTCAAGTCTATAATGTCGATAAGTTATCAGACAACTATTTTAAATCACTTCCCGGATTTATTGGGTATCAAAAAACCCAACAACACAATTTTCAAAATGAGAGATGGGTGAAAGTTTAGACATTTGCCTCATTTGATACCATTTCAAACCAGCTCATCTAAAAGTTTAATGTTAAAAAGGAGACATGTTTTAAATCTTGTCTCTAATAAGAAGTTCATATACTCTCAAAACAATTCTGGATTCTTTCTTATTGTAAATCATTTGGGTAATTGGCGCACAACATCCCTACCTATGACGGGTTGT